TTAAAATATAAATATACATTATATATAAATACATCTATGCCAAAACTTCCTTCACCTTCCCCAACTAATTCAGCTGGTCTAGTAAAAACATTTTATCTAAAAAAAACAAACAAAGAAAGAAAAAACCAAACCCAAAAAACAAACCAAAAACCCCACCAAGATTAAAACGACAACCCTACTTTCTAAATTCCTTCTGGCATCCTTCTGTGATGATAATTAGTAGTAGTGTTCAGAAGATGACACAAGTCTTCCAAATCAGAAGAGAAGGAACTCCATATGACAAATACTTACTCTCAGTTATTTTTGATCAAATAAAAGCAGAATAATTCAGTTAATGAATGACAGCTGACTAACTTGTGAGCACATCCCAGGTTACAACAGTTCTGGTCTGCAGGAGCACTGCAGAAATTCCTAGCAACATACATAATAGAGCAGGACTAACAGAAATTCCTATTAAAACACTTCCAAACTGTTTACTCAACCTGTTCAACGCAGATAAATCAAACATTTCTCCAAACTGTTAGAATAGTTAAACGTGGCTCTACAATGGATACAGCAAGTCAGCAAAACAGTTCTGAGTTCTATAAAGAGTTATTTTTCCTCCCATCAGTTCCATCTTTAGAACCACAGTACACGCTAGAAAAATTACATTAATTTTTTACAATTCTTACTCAATAGCTACCATCAACTAACAGAATAAAATGACACATTGTAACAGATAGAAAATAATTTGCAGACTTTTCTTATAGACTTTTAGAGTAATGTAGACTTTTTTATAAAGCAAAATATGTATCAACATTTTTTTTTTCCCATCAAAGGTGCCACTCAAAGATTAACACTAGCACAGAGCAACAATACTAGTTTCTTGACACCTCTACAAGAAATAAGAGGGGATTTTTTTTTCTGGGAACAGTGGAAGTATTGTCAGTGGGTTGAAAAAAAAGGACACCTAGACAAATGGTGGAACTTCTTATTTTTACATTGAGTACTCCAACATCAGCAGAGTTCAGGTGTTATCAGTACCTGTAGGAAACAACTTTTATAGTATTTCTTTTTTGTTAGTCTTTATTTTTTCTCCAAAACCCAAAATTTCACTGCACAGATCTTAATTGTATTGAAGCACTTTTTTCTTTAAAAAATCAAGAAATAGGGCTCTATCTGTTTCCAGGGTTCACTCAAGAAAGAAATATCGTATGATCTGAATACCTGAAGCTGTCAGCTAAGTTTTGATGCTACTCTGAAAATTTAAGATTCTTACACCTGATACCAAAATAACCACTACTCATGCATACAATAATTCTTGGAAGCAGTGATAGCAAAAGGATTTTTAAAGAGTGATAAAGATTTTAGGCTGAAGACATTACCAGTATAATATTCTACTATATAAAGATGACTACACAACAGACAACGCAGGGGTTAGCAGACTGGTGAGTCAAACAACAATGAAGAGTAAATGCCTTGCCCACTACCTTGACCTCTACTGGACAACAATATATACTGTCTTGAATGAGCTGTACAACAACTCACCTTCTTCCAAAAAGTGGTTTTACATAATGTTGTAACAATTATTCTACAACAGAATTAAAATAACTGTATGAATTCTCTACAGCATGTTCCAGAATTATTCTGTCCTTTTGTGAAATATTACCACTAATTCAGGAGAGGTCACGATTATACCAATTACACCAAAATCACGTAACACACCGCCTCATTAATACATGTAATTTGAATAAACATGATCATCTGAAGAATAATCTAGGTCATGAACTGTCTGTCATCTTTTCTATACCAACAGTCTCGCAATAGTTAATTTAAACTGCTCTCCTAATGTAATGTAAAAATGCACATACTTTTTTTCTGGTAAGGATTATACAATTTCTCTGTAAATAAAAAAGATTCTTCTTATTAATTCTAGTTCAAGCAAACTATAAAATATGGCACTTTTCTGAAGCCTGATTATTTCCAATAACTTATTTAAAGTGCATCTTTCTAAGTAAGCTCTGAATGTGTTTGCTTGATTAAACTGTGACCTCTGTTTTCCAGCAAAATCCAAATTTCAAGAGAGCATGGATTTACTTGCTATTTACCTAAATCAGTTATGAGTATGGGCTCTTGCAAAGGAATATCTGGTACTGGAACACTCGTCTTTCCTACTCGAACTTTTGCAGGTTTACGTTGATGTCGCAGCTTTCTTAGTTCGGTATGTTTAAAATGTGAAGCAATATGAGTTTTCCGGTGGCCTGATGTTCTAAACTTTTTGTCACAGTGAGGACAAGCAAAAGGCCTAACACCTGCAAAAGATTAAACAAAAATAATATTAGTTTGTGATTTTATTTCCACTGCCCTAGAAATGTAGCTTTGGAATACAGCATTTTCTTTTCTGTATTTTCTTTTTTGTTTTCTATCAGGGTGTTTATTGTCAAATAGGTTTTCAAAACAGATCCATAAAATCCAATCAAAAGTTATAAAATTGCTGAACTACTAACTGGTTGTAACGTTATCACTTTAAGCAAGCTTATGATCAGGGAAATGGATGATGCAAAAGTGACAGCAATTTTCAAAGGATTCCAGAAGCTATCCTAAGAATTGCAGATAGCAGGTCGAATGTCCTTCCAAAGCAAACTGTTAAAAAAACCTGTAAGAAAAAAGAATCAGCAAACACGCAGAGAGATGATATACAATAGGATAAAACAGAGGAACAGTGATGTGACAAATTTTAAAGAAATTCTAGATCGGTCTCTGAAAATGTCACCACTGTTTGATGGCAGTCAAAAAAGCATGCCAACAGGAATTATTAAAGAAAGACTTTTGCAATGCAAAATCCGGTATAAATCTCTCCTTGGAAAGGATACTGAAGAACTTGGTAAGTTATAGAAACAGGCAAAGCTGACGAATTTTCAGCTTTTGTTCATGGGGAAATCTTGGACTTAGAAGGTTAGGAAACATAACTGGATATTATGAAGAAAGCTCTATAAAATTACAGGTGGAAAAAATGCACAAGAAATAAAAATGAACCATTCTTCACAATACAATAACTAAAACATCATATGAAACTACTGAGCAGAATATTTAAAGCAACAGAAAGTATTCTACTCAACATGTAGCTCAACATTGGAATTCATTATCTTAGGTTGTTCTAGTAGTAAGTTCACACAGGTTCAAAACTGATTAGCTAGGTTCTTTGGAACAAAAAAAACATACAAAGTGCTGCTCAGTGCAGAGGTACAGACTGCTTCATAAAGCCCTCAACCCAAAGATTAGCGGAAGCTAGTTGTACGCTGCTAAGAAGCATTATTGTAGGCTTCCCCCTTTCCACACGTTGCCAGAGAGCGCATACGGGGCTGGATGAACCTCTAACCTGACCCAGTAAGCCTAACCTGCTAGACAGAGGAAGAAGCAAACATCTCTGACAGGAAAAACAAGTGTGCTGAACAATGGCTAACCACATGCTGGAGTTCCATAAACACTGGACTACCTGTTTTTCAAGTCACTTAGTGCTTTTGCCACTTTGAATGAGTCTAACTTCTTAAATAAAGTAAGGTTGACTTTAAAGTAACAGAAAAAATATTGGTTTATAAAAACCAAAGTGAAAAACTTTCTGCAGATAAATCCAACATTGATATTGCATGGATTAAAGGCATCTGACTATAAAACATATTGAACACCAAATGCACATAGCCAATGAATGATACTTTTGCAGAATGTAAATACATGAGTAGGAGTGAAAGGAAAAGAACAGCACATTTATGAGCTTATCTTGCTGAAAGCTTATTTACCTGCAAATAACAAAGAAAGAAAAGTGGAAAACAATGAGGTAGCCCACCAAGAGTGGAAAACTCATTTTTCTCTATGCAGAGGATAGAAGTTCAGCCACAGAAAAACAGGTATTGAAGACACCATACATGATGTAAATAAGACCGTATGAACATAAGAGTTTTAGGGTATGCAGTGTAAGATATTGAAAACAGGTAAATTGGTGAAAACATCAAGCAACACCTTATTGTTGAAGAAAATAATGGGAAGTAACCAAACAGTCCTGAGCGATACAGTGAAATTATCAGTGGAGGGAAGGGGAGGGAAGAAAAGATGCAGAGTAAATATGAAAGATGACTGGGGAGAAGTAAAATCAGAACTCAAATTCTCAGAGTACAAGTCTTTAGAAAGCACAAATACACTTCACAGTAGTGATATTAAAAGGCAGCAACAGTTGACTCATCAGAAGAAAACCAGATGTCTATGGCTTTTGTAAGAGCCCACACAAAGTTTCAAAGCCATGAAACACTAGAAAGTTATGACAAAAATTTAAGTTCATCATGTAAGACACTAAAACCAGTTCATTCTCTGATAGGTATTAATGACATGATAGGCGTCTCTACAATTTAGGCACTTCACATTGTCTTTTTTCATTCAAGGTCTTGCCGACATCACAGAAAATACAAATGCAATTTTGAGGCCTTACCTGTATGTAGACGAATATGAACTTTTAAACTCCCTGAGGTGGAAAAGCACTTCATACAAAATTGGCACTTGAAAGCCTTAATGCCAGTATGGGTTTTTATGTGCGCTGTGAGAGTACTCTTAACAGCAAAGGCGCGGAAACACTGGGGACACTTGAATGGCTTCTCATGGGTATGAATGCGAATGTGGCGCACTAAATCACTTGGTTTTTTAAATTCTTTAGAGCAGTATGGACAAACATGCCACCTTATTCCATTTTCTTCACGTATAGAACCTAAAATAAGAAACAACATCAAACTGAACGTGTTGGAAATATTTTAACAGTTCTTCAAAAATTCCACTACACCATTATATAAAGCAGTCAAAACACAAAAACATTTTGCCAAATAGATGCCATTACAACACACAGCAGACAATTAACTTCTCTATCAGATACATTCTGCTTCACAAAAACAGTGGTGGGCTGGAATGACAAAAACAAAACCTAAGAGAATCCTGTTGAAATTTAAACATTTTTACGCTGCTGAAAAGGAAGGATGTAAAAAAAAAAAAGCTAAGAAATGTCTAACTTCACTGAATGCAGTTTATATGCCACTTAGAAATACAGAATGTAGGTGTAGTGCAATATATATACCAGTTAACTTATAAACACAACTTCTAACACAAAATCATCCAACAGTGAATATAACTCTTCAACCATAACCATACCAAATTATTTTTAACTACTAAACACTTATCTAACTCACTGGATGAGGTACTTTATATTGCCCTCTCTTCTCCAAATTCAGACTTAAATTAAAATTTATGAAGTTTTAAAGGAGCAAAAATTCTATAAAAAGTCCTTGTGAAAGACTTACAATTTAAGGCTACTTTTTCACAAAAGTTGTTTATGATCCAAGAACCCCAAACTCTGTCCTAAAGCAACAGCATACCTTTTCTCAACAACAACAACAAAAAAAAAAAAAGACAAAAGAAGCTTCTAAATCCTGCCAGGGTTTTTTATTCATACATGTTGTTCACTATCAGATACTCACTCATTTACATCTGTTCTTTTCTGTAAACCATGTCAATACACTAAGGTTATGTTATTTTATCAAGAAAAAAGCAGTTGTGTTTGACTGTACAGCAGTGACCTTTTATTTTTATTTGCAGTCAGAGTTAGAGAGTTGTTACTGTTACACAGGAGGAACAAAACAGTTATTATTACCAGAGAAAAAAGTTCATGTTGATTTTTAGCACTGTTATGCTAGACAAAACGAGTTTTTGACTTTGGATCAATTTCTGCATCCCTTGCAAAGAAAAAAGCAACATCAGTGTATCTATGAAGGTACTACAGACAGAGCCCAGTAACTGCTTATTACAGAGCTGTCTCCACCAGGCCAGCCATTGAAGTATGATGGCTATACTTGGAACAAACCACTTCTAGCAACCTGAAAGCTTGAGCAATCTTCACACTAAAATTGCATTTAAGCACACGGAGGCAAAATACATACACACAATACAGTATGGAGGTGGAATATTAACATGTATTTATGGTGACAATATTACATCAGTACCGTGATTCCAAACACAGGTGATATGAAGTATTATCCACAATGCCAACCTTCATCCTTCCCTACATGGCCTAAATCAGTGAAGATGTGCATGAGGCAGCAGCCCTGCACTTCTGTCTCTGCGAGGCCTCACTTCCAAAGAGTAAGACTAGTGCTTGCAAGAACTCTCTGCTCTGGGACACACCATGACAACCCAATCCTTCTCAGAGAAGGATGATGGGAAAAAGAGGCGGGGGGGGGGAAATCATATTCTTTCTTTTTTGTCCTCTTTCAAAAACTCCACTGATCTAAATCCAGAAGATTTAACTGTAACTTCACTTAATGCCATCCCAACATGGTTTTGTATCAGTGTAATGAAAGTTATAAATGCTATTGATCATAACTTACACACATACTGTGTTTTAGATAAGAGTAAATGAAGTTCGTAACTGATCCACAACACGTTTTGGGAAATCCCTTTATAAAGCCATCAATGCACCCAGAAATACTATAGTCCTTATAGCACAAAAAGTAGCAAGCAGTGGCAACATTACCAGGTAAAAACGGTGATTTTTTCTTAATAACCTTTTTTTCTTTTTTATCCAGTTTATCTGTACTCTCTTGCTCCTTATCTTGTTCTCCATTATTAGAGTCAGCCTGATGATTTGAGAGAGTCTGGACGTCTGGGTTCTGATCCTGGGCCCCAGGAGTCTTGGCCTGGCTGCAGTCAGTAGAATGTGCAGAGACGGGAATTGAAGACAACCCACTGTTCTCTAAAGCTTGCTGAAAGAGAACAAAAAACTTCTAGATTAAGAAACCAACATTCCACAATTGCCCCAATTTTTCTTAGAAGATACAATACAAATACAATTAAAGAAATTAAATGTCTCATCCTCCCAGAATTTCAGCTGGATTTCAAATTTTTAAAAAGCATTCTTATACAACACTGGCTTCCGACTGTCTGTGAGATTTTAAGTTGGATTTCCTGCACTAATACATGTGCCAACAACTACCTTTCAGAAAAGTGCCAATGGTTTCTACAGAATCAAGCATTTGCCAGGAATATATAGCTATCTCTTACACCTACTACACGAGAGAACAGCTCCCCATAAAAGGTCAAATTTGAAGACAATCAGCTTGTGAAGACGCCATAGATGATACAAAGAAAAAGGAAGAATGCTAAACCAAAGAAAGGCTCAGAAAAGCTCAAAAGCCCCTCTTAACACTGATAACCATCAGACTGAGGCAAGAGCTATGAACTCATTTTTACGTACGCCTGGAAGGGACTGGACTGTAGGCATCTTTATGGATACTATTGTGTCTGAAAAGGCTCTGGATCAAAGACCTCAAACACACATTTAAGTAGGCATGCAGATATTTGATCACTTCAAAGAAAACTACATTTTATTTTTATTTTGTACAACAATATGGCTAGGGATGCTCATACAATAACTTAAAGAACCAAGTTCAAAGACCAATTTTTTTTTTTAAATAGCTATCACAACAATAATTGTATTTTGTGTTATAATTGGTGCAATTACACATCACATTCCTGACATTAGAGAACTCAGCACAGGTAACACGGTGAACTGGCACATAGCTACATGTAACATTCAGGTCTTCCAAAAAGAAATTTAAATGGTACTTATAAGACTGGAGATGAAAAAATAGCTTAAAGCTTAGCAGGCTACCACCAATACTAAGGAATATTCTCTGCCCTGTTCCATTATGTGGTGGAGGCTGCAGAATGTCTATGCAGTCTATGCAGAAGCATAGACAGTTGAATTACCGCCCTGCACCTCTTCTGTTACATAGCATCTCCTACTGCCAGTATCAAGGACAGAATAATGGGTTAGACAAAACATTGGTCTGACCCAAGAAGGAATTTTATTTGCACCAGCAGGAAATATTCAAATAGCCCTTATTAATCAGGACAGAATAAAGGCCCATTTACATTCTCTTTTTTAACCAGATAAAAATATTTTCCCCTCTTAAATGTCATCATGTTTTAAGCACAGCATAACTTAAGGATGTGCCACAAGCTGCTTCTAGGCAACAGGGAAAAAAAAAAGACCTAATGGGATTAATAAAATGTTCATGTATGGGTGTGTACACTTAAAGCTTTCTTCTAGGCCATATAATCAGTATTTATAACCTTGCTTTTGTAAAATTATACAAAAAGATATCTTGGTGCATTCCACACTCATTCAGCAGATCTTTACAATTCTTTCTTGACTGACACATCATTTAGAAATGCAGAAGGAATGTTATGGTTGAAAACACTGAGAACAAATTTCACTAAAATAGACATGAGAAAGAAACCACTGAAATGTAAAGCTGTTCTCACAGACAGCTCTTACCTGCAAAATATCTCTATTGATTCCCACTGCAATGTTGAGCTGCTGACCAGGTTGTTGAGGCTGGTTATTTTCTACAGGACCTGGTTCTGATAACTCAAGGAGTTGCTGGATGACATCAGTTACAGCCTGCTGACCCTGTTGAGCAGTAGCTGAAGACACCTGGTTTTCTGTCTGTTGAAGAAGTGGAGACCGAAAATGTGTGGCCTGAAACAGACAGCAGTACACTTGTAAAGGAAGATGAGAAGTATGTATGAACTGATCTGTTCGGCTCCCTTATGTGAAATGTCTGTTAACTGCCCACTACAACTGTCCACTTGTGTAAGACATAAGGATTATACAAGGCTGTCATTAAAGGTCTGCTCGCCCCACTAACAAATTGCTTCCGTATATCCCTTTTCTGGAGTTCTTCCCAAGCTGCACAACTGTAAGCTTACAGCTTGAATTAAGTTTATCATAACCACTGAACCTTCAACTAGTTTACAAAACACAGGCATCAATTACTGAATTCCACATACAGAGGCCACATGAAAAGCAATTCCAAAACAAATAAATGGCACTGACATGGTTGCCTTTTTAAAATCCACATTTAACAAAAGCAGGTCCTCTGGAGAAATAACCTTCTATTAGTTGAGATTTTTTTTTGTATAAATTTTTTTGTGTTGTTATATCAAAACCTTTCAGAACAATCAAACTACTAACTTTTTTCCCTTCAACTTTCAATATTCTAAATCTCTTAGCTTTAGAAGAATCTCCTTAAACTCTAAAAATGTAAATACCCATGGAGCTGTGTCAAAATACTAAAAAAAACTTAAAGTCTAAAAATCAAGTTTCTTAATCTTTGATTTGACAATTGTATCTTAGGCTACCTTAGTAACAGATACTAAGAAAAAAGTGATAAAAAGCCTTGGTATTTATTTTTAAAATCAGAAATAAAGACTCCTTCTGTTCTCCTTCATTTATAAACTTCTCTTCCTTATAACAAATAGAATCCATAAGTATATCATTACTGAAACAACTGCTTTCAATCACTCATTTTACTGCAGAAAAGAGAAATATATATTTATATAATGGCTAGCCCCATAATTCTGTTTCTTAGAACACACTGGATATTTGCTTCTAATAGTCACTTCTGTTCTCTAAAAATAATCACTTCCAGGCGCACGCACGTGCACACACACGTGTATATATATATTGATATACATATAAAAAATGCTATCTTCTTTCAGATCATTTTTAACAAAGAATAATCTTAAGCTTCACATGTGTAATATTTCTTCCAATCTGAAAACTCCTGAGATTTTCTTTATACTGACACATTACACTGGACAGTTAAAATGATACTGTCACCATATTTGAAGATGGTTACAAAGAAATATGTTAAGAAAAATTAGCTTGACTCAAGTTATATCCTGCAAATTTGACAAAGTATTTTTAATGCCTTCTCATGAGACAATACAAAACAAACCTTTATCTCATTTCTCTTGCATGCATGCAAGAATTGCACTTGCTATTTTGCTGATTTAACCACTAGCCCATCGTTTTTCACCTCACTGTGGGACAGATGGAAAGATTCCCATCTCTTCAGATTCCAATTTAACAAGAGCGCCATAACTGTTTCAATATGTATTTTACAAAATAAAATACACTATATGCCATTTTCATTGCAATAAACAGGAACTGAAGCAAAGTGTTTTGCTGAAGATTGTAACAGCTCTTTATAGAGATCACTCATTTTCTTGAAACAGAATGCAGGGAAGCTCTTTAGTAGAGCGGGAAGCCTACACTAAAAAGTCTATAAAATTCTCCCAGGCTCTAGCAAGAGAAAAAAAAAAAAATGTTAATGAAGGAACGGCTCAACATCATCTCTGACATGAAAATTACAGTATTACATGTATTTAGCCAGTGTGTTCATGTATTATACAGCAGTTTACACACAGTCTCATGGAGGTTATCTTTTTTGAAAAATAATATACACATATGCACACCTATAAAGTTTGTTATCATTACTATTAAGAGACCCTGCTCATTATAAAAAGTTTCAGAGGTCTCTTTGTAGGTCCCACTTCAATAACCGATTTTAAAAGTATCATAGAGAATGAAGTGTTTCATTACTACTTCATAATTCCACATTTGTTCAGTTAGAATAGTGGACCTTGTGATCACCCTTACTCTGTCTGATCTGCTGTGTAACACGGACCGCATGCCTGCTCTGAGTGAATTACTCCAAACAAAGTAACTGTACAGAAATTATAGCAGTTCTTTAAATCAAGTAATTTATTGTGGTAACTTCTTCTGTTGCTATCCAACTTCAACAGTAAATTATCCACATTAAAATTCCATCCTTTATTTCAAAGTGTGAATTTGGCTAGCTTCAACCCTCAGAACTTTTTTTCTCTTCTCTATTAAAAAGATTACAGATTTTTCCCTTTTCTTCAAAACAGCAGATCAAGTCATCCTTAAATATTTTATCTGAGGGGCAAAATAGATAATGCACCTTGAATCTCTTCAATAATAAAACACATTATATCATACTTTAAGAATTCTGATGGCTCTGCTCCCTCCTGTATCTTTGAATACAGTTCATGAATAGTGAACACTATAAACAGACAACCAACAAAAGCAAAAATTCCCAGAATGAAATACAGAGGACATACAAGCTTTTCATTTCTATGCTAAGTTTCTTCTCTAAATGAAAAGACTATAAAACTCATCTTTCCAGGCAAGGAAAACCTAACTTTTAGCTGATACATCAATTATTACCTCTTCCATCCCTATTTAATAAGTGGAATTTAAAATCCTTGAAAACTCCTATCCTGTGAATATGGCCTACTTTTTCTGTTCTTCTATATGTGATTTTATTCTTGGCGATACATTGTTTGGCACACCCAGCTCACCAAGAAATCCATACCATTCTGTATCAGTGATGTGTCCTCTTCATAAATTACCTCAGTCTGTGTATCATCCTGATCTGTGATGATTTTATATTTTCTTCTGGGTCACTGATATATATTAAGTAGTGTAGGGTCAAGAATTAATTTTCCAAGGGACTCCATCAGAAACACAGTAACAGTGGTGATTCCCTGCACACCTCTTTTACAAGTTCTCTCAGGAAGTTTTAAAAATCACTCATGGTCCCTCACATTAATTTTAGTATATCATTCTGTTTGAAAATACAAAACATATCCCTACTTTTTATGGCCTCCATTACAAGAAGGAAAAGGAAGAATCATTAAGGATGCAACTAGCTTATAAAATTCTGTGAAGTTTCTTCCACTTTTAGTCTTGACACAAAAACATGACAAAAACTCTACACTTACATTCTTCCATTTGTTATCAACAGGTTGCAAGAGATTAGCAGGAGATGTTGTTAAAGGCTGGGTGACAGAGTCCTACAAAGAAATGAAAATAAAGTATTTTAAGCCTTTGTACAAAAAGAAGGAAAAACATGGCTAATATCACACATAAAAGTAGTACAGTTCATTTTCCCACAGTATGGGACAGAAAAAATGAAACTATGGGAGAGATACAACAGTACCTAGAATCACTAATGTTGCTTCATAGTTTAAATACATTAAACAAACACAAGTTACAGATACCAGTACCTTAGCTACAAGCGCTGATGCAGCCAAAGACAAATAACAAAAGTAAGCATATTTTACTAGGTACTCATGTATCACACAAGAATGCATTCTTTGGTAGCACAGCACTTCAGGAGACTTCAACTTTTGGAATTCATTGTATTAAGGACACAATCATTCTTCATCCCCAGGTATATAACAAGGGACGACAGAGACTGATTGCAAACTTCAGAAAAGAACCATTATACTGGAGATTTGCTGTTAAAGAAGCTCTGCAAGTTTTGAGCAGAATGAAGAAGTCAGTTCTAATATAAGAATGCTAGTGTTAATCTAAGAAAGTAGAAACCATCTTTCTACAGCAGTAAAACTCAATCAATCATTAAATCTCTGCAGTTTCAGATATAAAACTAAAACTAAAAAGTGTAATACTCTTCTAATACACAACTGACATGTCAGTTATTATCTTTGTTCTTCCTTGTTAAACATCTTGGCATCTGTTTTTAGAAAGAAAATCTCTTCTCCCATTTTGCTTACACTATTGTATGGAGATATTCTTTATTTTTCCCCTCCCTCATGCAAGCAGAGAAGTATGCATGCAGCAAAGATAACACCACCATGCTTCTGTAATATCAATACGCAATGCAAATGCAAGATACTCAAACAAACCAAAACAAGAAAAACACAGCTGGACAGGGGAAGCAAATATGAGGTAGTATGAAGGAATCCTTTTCCTTTCTGCTTTTAAGATTAGGCTTGTGAATGCAGAGATGTGCAAAAAGAGGTAGAGATTATATGTACTTTGCAAGCAAATAGGACACGTTGGTCTTTTTTTTCTTTTAGTTAACCTTAAGAGACAAATGGCATCTGCCATACAAAAAAAAATCTTATGAAATCTAAGAAAGAAAAATGTTTCTCGAAACGACACTACTAGACACTTGTTTTCAACAAGATACAGCTGCATAATGAAATTGAGACTTTAAATTTTAACCCTTCTCGTCAAAGTCTGATATTACTTGCCATCCTTTGACCTTTAAAGCATAAAATTTGGAAATGATGCAAAACATAGTGGAATAAAGGTAGAAAAGGTAGTTCTACTCAAAGAAAAAAAATGTACTATGATACATTAAATATGCACTGGCTCAAAAAACCAAAATAGTCTTCTGAAACCAGAAGCATTTTCCGAGATGTAGCTTCTTGTATCTTGGTAAAGAAAAAAACCCACCAGCATTCAGTGCTCTCAGTAAAGCTTTTTCCTTTATGATCTGTCAAATGAGAAGCTAACATTTAAAACAGGTTATCAGAAATACTCAGAAGAATCCACTATGTAGTTATATGGACTAGAATTATATAAACAATTTCTGAAAATGAGTTAAAACTAATATATAATTTAAATAGTTCCAGATTCCATTATTCCAGCAAAACTTCACAGTTATTTTTATGTTACCTGGGGAGGAAACCTTTCCTCTGCAGACAATCTGCAAGCACCAGAATTATATTTTACTTAGCTGTAGAATAAAATGTTGTATTTTCATATAAACCCTCAAATTGTAAATCCTTTTTTGCATATACTTGGCCAATTTACATTCTGCCAATATTTAATAATGCAAATCAATTCCAAAAATGACACAACACTTTAAAAAGACAAAAACCAGCTACAGGTCTTTCGGTCCTAACCTATCTGAAGAATTACTGGAATTAAGATACAGATCTAATTAAACTCTTAAAGCCAGTTTCACAATATACCAAGCAAAGCTTACCGCTGTAACATGAGATACATCTGTCGAAGAGCTTGCAGAATTCTGTTGACCACCCATGTGCATCTTGCTGATATGTGTATTTAAACTACCCAAGCTTTTGAAGACACAGCTACATTCTGTACAGTTGTACGTAGGGCCATTCTTCACCTTCAGTAAAACAAAAAAAATTAAGTAAATTTTCCCTAAACCTACCAAATTTTACATTTTTCATTATTTATCCACGTAACAAATATACTATGGGGTTATGAGAGCTAAAATGGTTTATTTTTCTAAGTTACTGATATCCAGTTATGGAATCAGTCTGGTGTCTCTCGGATGCCAAGTCAACTGTAATCTATGTGCATGACTGTCATCTCCTATTACCACTTCTCAACACTGGGAAGTACCAGAGAGCAAAACAAACGTCATACGCAAATGAGGCCTCAGACTTTTCCCTCCTTACAATTTCCTACCGTTACACACTCAGAAACAAAACCAAAATGCAACTTTATCAATTAAGATGTGCCTGAAGATGTAACATCATATATAATACAAACAGAAGTTTGGAAATACGAAGAGAAAAAAATGCAGGTAATTTATCTTCAAATTTTGGCTCTCTACTTTTGCAAATGTATCTTTTATAAATTTAAAAGAAAAAAAAAATCCACTTTTCAGGTCAAAGTAGAATGAAGGCAAGATAGATTGGGCCAAAGGCCATACGGACAGCATGGGGCGGGAGTGGAAACCCACACCAAAAAAACCCCATGGTGAATCACAGAATCATAGAATCATTTAGGTTGGAAAAGACCTTTAAGATCATCCAGTCCAACCATTAACCTAACATTAGCAAGTCCATCACTAAACCAATTAAGGGTAGAGTAATTATTTCATGTTTCCGGGCTTGGTGGCTGGATTACTTTTTAATGAAAGTAAAAACTAGGAATTACTGAGGTTGGAAAGGATCTCTAAGATCATCAGTCCAACCATCAACCCAACACCACCATGTCCACTAAACCATGTCCCAAAGTGCCACCTCTACCCATTTTTTGAAT